ACTTGTACAAAATCACCTAACATTTCACATAAAAACTTAACACATCTCAGCGTGTAATTCATACATTAATATTAAGTCAACATCAAACACTAGCTTTCAAAGGTAAATCTCTTTGAATTGCATCCCGCCTGTCTTGTCCGCCGAAAACATGATTTTGGTGCCTCAATAAGTATGATCAAAAGTCTATATGACACTGCGTGCACAAGGTTAAAAAGCGTAACCAGTATAGTGTTGATGCCACAAACAATATCACAAGAATCAGCTCTAAGAGCATAATAAATATAAGGACAATTTACATACATACCACTCAATTCCATTGTGTTTACATATCTAACATCTAAACTTCTATTTTTACATAAATGTCACCTGACCCATGCATGAAATGTATTTCACTTTTAAAAAGTTAAAAAGGTAGTATTTTTTATGTGATATGAAAGTTTCTGGTGGTATAAATGTAAAAAGTAAAGTTTAGGTGTTAGATATGTAAATAGATAGAAATTGGGTGGTATGTAAATGACCTCAAAGAGCTGCATTAAGACAACAAATACCTACAAAATATAAAGCATCATCCATTGATTTAGTCAATAGCATAATTTCACAAATAAAATATAAATACAGTAAGTGAAATGTGTAGCATTAACCTCTAGAACTGGAAATTGAATTCAAGGCTACATTTTCTGATGCATCGGACAGATATCCGTAGACCTCAAGTGCTTTCTTCAACTCATGATAGCGGGGAATCCATTCAAGTACTACAGATGGTTCACTGGCCTGAATGTTTAAGATCATTATATAAAAGATAAAGAAAATTTACTTATGCAGAACACAATGCTCATGCATTTACATATCTCACATCTAAACTTTCATATTTACATATATAGCACTTTGGTGCTTTAAACATATGCATGAAAATGTGTATTTCACTTGCAGAAAGAAGTAAGTGTCATTATTTATGTGATATTAAAAATTTGAGTGTTTTGTGTCTAAATATGAAAGTGGAGGAATGAGATATGTTGAATTTCTGCTCCAATCATAGCAAAGAACGTAAAGCACACTGATTAAAGCTTTATACCATTAGATATGTCACTTTATGACACTCAAACTGTAATCCATGTGCTTTCCTAAAGGATCACCTGCCCCTATTTATTTTTCCCTCCTTTTTTGATCTTATTAATATGATGCCTATGGGAGCTATATATATCCCCCCTCTTCTACAAAAAAAAAAAGACGCTTGAGAGTATTTTCATTGTTTTAGTTTCTACAAGATATGTAAATACATAAGAATTGTGTGCTATGTATGCAAATGCCAAAGGATAAATGAAAATGTTTCCATAAAAAAATGCAAGAAATTACCTCAGTTTTAGACAAAAGGATGCTGCACCAAAATTCGCATGCAGAAAGCTGCAATTTCTCATTGGAAGAATATAGAGCTGATGCCACAATAAAGTATAGTATCAAAAACAGATTACGATGAAACTGAAGCACTGTAAAGTTAAAAATACATACCCTGGTAAAATGTCCATGATGCAACAGAAGCTTCAACATAACCAGATATAAATGATAATTGTGTGAGCCATCCGTTAATCAAGAACCCTTCTAGAAACTTCTCTCCAGCTCCTACAGAAGATGCCAGAAATGAATATTAAAGTCGAGTTTTAACACCACAACATAGAATGTCCGAAAATCAAATCACGCCCTCCCAAAATTATTTGATAATTTAAATACCATAGAAATATTATATGTACAAAAATATTAGTCATATCTTACTTCAATTAACTTCTATCAGAATTATATAAGTGATGAACTGCAAAAATGGTGCCCTAGTAGATGCGCAATATCTGAGGGGATAGAGATTTGTATGAATACAGAAATACAAACATACATGGATCCAGCCATATAACAAAAGGTGAACCAACAAAGATCCACAGTAGATGGAAATGAAGAAGAAGACTAAGAAAGTAAAATTGATGAAGAGGAGAGAAAGGCGAAGAATCAATGAGGAAAAAAAATAAAATAATGTAATAAATTTTATGTTAATGACATGTCATGTGTGGAAGTTGTATTTTAATATTGTATTTGGGGTACAATGGTTGACTCATAAAGGCAAAACCATGTTTCACTAGATCAAGAATCAGATTATAGAGATATATTTCAATGGTAATCTGATTCTTTGGCAACATATTCGTTTTTTTAGCTTAAATCATCTTCTTTTGATCGATAATCAAGTTTTTTTTTTCTTTGAGACAAAACTAGATGCCTTCTCTGAGGACGAGTATTGCTGGGACATTTTAATTAGCTCTTCAAAGTTTATGCATTTTTTCAACATTAACAGATAAATCAACCATGGTCTAGGGCGAATTCTTATTAATGGCAAAATTAAATGGGTTGTTACATACATACGACCCAATTCTTATATATATATATATATATAACACCTAAACTTTGCTTTTTTATATTTATACCACCCAAACCTTTCATATCACATAAAAAATACCACTATTTTAACTTCGAAAAGTGAAATACACATTTTCATGCATAAGTAGCATGCATAAGTAGGGTGGCATATTTGTAAAAATTGAACTTTAGGTGTTAAATATGTAAATATATAAGAATTGAGTGTTATTTATGTAAATCTTCCAAATTAAATATATCAACTCTTAACCCTTAACTAAGGTCAATCTTAGCAACCTCCACATTTGGTTATGGATCTCAAGCTTCTCAGCATAAACCCGCATTATGTCAATGTTTTTTGTGTGGTGTTGGCTTTAGGGAGAATAAGGTTAGGTTGCTCTTTCTTCATTTTTGAAAAAAAAAGAAATTAGCAGCTCTTGCAGCAAGTGAAGGTTTTGATGGATCCTTATAGTAGCTTTGGGATTACTAGGAATAATCAGCCTTTTATGATAGTTAATGCTATCTATATCCTCATTTTCCGAATACCTTGTTCAGAATCCAAAAGTAGATCTGAATCGAGCTCATTTTTTCTAAAAGGCTGAAAAAGCTTGCAGTTCTCCAGTTCTATAAAGCTTAACAAAGGCAAAGATTTCTGCAGTTCATAATAACCCATAATTAGTTTTTAAAAAAACCCAAAATAAATGAGCAATATTGATATAGATTAAAAAGCTATTAATAAAAAGAACCTGTTGCCCAAAGATCTCCTGACCCCACAAAGGGATCTCTTTTTCAGCAGTAATTTGGTTCATCTGAAGGCAAGTCAAAGATTTGCAGCGTAAAACAAAATAAAAAGACATTAAAGATTTGCAGCGTACAACAAAATAAAAAGACATTTACATACGTACGGCCCAGTTATTATGTATTTACATATCCAACACCTAAACTTTATTTTTTTACATTTATACCACCAAAATCTTTCATATCACATCAAAAATACCATCATTTAAACTTTTACAAGGTGAAATGCACCTTTTCATGCATAGGCAAGGTGACACTTATGAAGAAATTAATCTAGGTGTAGATATGTAAATACATAGGAATTGAGTGGCATGAATGTAAATCTTCTCAAAAAAAACAATCAATCATAACCCCGGCATACGTGCCTGTTTTTCACACTCATTAGCAATCTCCGAGAACTTTGTTTCATTGCCTCTCTCATTGGGATCATCTTCATCATCGGAGCTGCATCTTTCTGAAGCTTTAGATTTTTTACAAGCATTGCCATCAATCTGGCTCTGTTTTGTGTAAAAATCAGTAAGAAGGTCATCCAAACCGATTACCTTTTTCCTGTTAAAAAAAAAGGTTCTTTACAGCAATAACAGATTAACATGAACAAAAAATTGAATGTTTAGCAAATACAATAAGATAAAGCTAGCACTTTTTAGGTTGCAAAAAAATTATAATTAATAAACCACAACATCAGGCTCCATCTTCGTAAGGTTCAGCAGGAAATTCTTTGTTGAATTAGTGTACAATCCAAAATGTGCAAGCACATTATCGGTGATCTAGCTAAAAAATATTATGCATAGTTAAGGCAGTCACATTATAGGAGTTTGCATACTCAAACTAAAAATATGCATAAAAAGCCAAAAAAATTTTATCAAAATAATAATAATAATAATAAATGTCATCTATTGTTTTGTCACACATCTCACACACGCCAAACCTTGAATGCTATAATTTTTATGAATAGAAGTGACACGGGAGCTTAATAGGGTCGTGGTATTGTAGCTGATACAGTACCGCAGTTTAGCCCTTCTGCATTTCCCTTTCTATCACTTTCCTTGTCCGCCTCCTTTACTTATCCTTGTCTTTTCCTATTATATTACATTTCCTTCTTAATTCTTTCCTTTCCTACAACCTTCTATTCCTATCTACTAGCTTCTATTATATATATACTGTGCACGCGCGCGTGCTAGTTATATAGAATCTAATAATGGCGGTGAGCTCTGCTAGGGTTTCACCCGAAACCCAGCGTGAACATCAGGCTTTACTCCATTGTCCTCGCCGTGGTACTGTTCCGTAGGCTTCGGATGCAGACTCGCACGCTGCTCCATCGTCCTCGCTGTGGTACTGTTCCGTAGGCTTCGGATGCAGACTCGAATGCTGCTGGCCGAGCCTTCGTCCTTGGTCGCGTCCCAAACTGTGTCGTTCTGCACTGTCATCTGTTTCGTCATCGTCTGTGCTCGAGTGCGTCAGCTGAGCCTTGGTCCCCGATCGCAAACTATGTTCTCGTCTGCTACCTACTCTGCGATATTTCCTCACACAGTGGTCGCAGCCTTCGCCTCGATCGCAGTCTATGGCCTTTCTCGTCTGCTAGAGATGGCCTCAAGGGTGTTTTCTTACGCCGCCGCCCTTGCAGGTGATAATCCAGCCAAACCCGCTGATGCTACAGTGGTTCACAAACATAGCTCTCATTTCCACCTTGCAGATAGTCTAATATTTCTGTAGATGTACCATGATTTTGTTGCAAGATTAAAGATCACAACTCATCAAAAAAGTAGAGAGAAAAGGCAAACCAGCATTATTCTTCTCTGACGCTGAAATTTCAACTTATACAAGAAAATACAAATTTTTACTAGTTGAAAAGTTCCAATTAGGTCGCCCTAAGATAGAGGTTATCAGGAAGATTTTTGAAGATTTCAAACTAGTTGAGGCTTGACAGGTGAGTCTTTTCGACGGAAGACGTGTTATGATATAGCTGAGCATCGAAGAAAATTACACAATGATTTTCTTAAAGAAATTCATCACAATCGAGTGCAATCATATGAAATTGCTCAAATGGACCACTGATTTTGATCCCAGTCAATAATCCTCAATTGCGCCTATCTGATTCTCATTATCTAACTCAAGCTTTAATTCTTTGACTTACCTATCTTATATGCAATTGAGACTATCCTTGGAGAACCTTTGCGGGTAGACACACCTACAGTTGATTTCTCAATGCCCTCTATTGCAAGGATTTTGATTGAAAGGGATATTAAACTATCAAATGTAGAAGAAGTCTGGTTTAGCTCTGCTCACAATAGTTATTGGCAGAAAATCGTTATAGAACAAAAACCTCACTACTGCAAACACTGCAAGATGTTTATACACCCGCAAGAGAAATGTTTCAGATTGCACCCACAAAACTAATAGCCAAAAGCAGGAATATGTTGTTAGTGCACCTGAATGCCCTCCCAGAAAACCTGATGGCAGCAGCAAACCTGATGACAGCCAACCTGAGGGATTCACCACAAGAATGATGTCAGCCCTTAGGAACCCTTTTCTTGACCATACTATAAAGGATAATGTTCAGACCAAAAATCAGGATAGCCCCGCAGCTACTATTCAGGAAGCATCAAGTGTAGAGGTGACACTTCACACTTCACATACACTGGAACCTATCACTGGCAACAAATGTCTTTCCTTCTACTGTTGTTCTAATATCTAATCAGACTGAGGATCACATCCAGTATTCAGATGAAGAATGATAGTTTACACTTCTCGGGGAAAAAGAAGGATGGGGGCACACTCACACTCCAACTTGGAAACTTAATGGATGATACTTTGGTTACTCATGGCAATGGAACGACACTTCAAAGTTTGTTATCTGACTCCGCTCCTAAAACTAGAGGAAGAGGAAGGACTAAACCTACTCGTCCCTAATTACTTTTTTTCTTTTTGTTCATGTTTTAAATTTCTTGAGTCTCTCTATATCCTTTTGTTGGAGTAGTACTGTACTTGGTATCGTATGGTTAGGATGTCTCTATTGGGCCCTCTCATACAACATTTATGTATCCTTTCTGTTTCAATAAAATCAGCCCTTGGGTTTTTCAAAAAAAAAATTGTAATGTGTGCTAGTTTAGAGGGGGGTTTTTATTGTTTCTAATTTTAGATTGAGGTCTCTAAGGTGTTTTCCATTTTGAGGGTTGTATCTAAAGACGGGAAGGTGCTCCGATTGTAACTCGTCTAAGATAACGACTGTCCCCAAAGGAACGAGTGGTGCTTCGAC